GATAGATAGATAGATAGATAGATAGATAGATAGATAGATAGATAGATAGATAGATAGATAAATGAATAGATAGATAGATAGATAGATAGACGAACGATTTCTTTATTTACTTCTTGCCGTATTTTTATTGTAACTACAGTTAACAATTAGAAAACAAACAAAAAACTCAAAAAAACCCAACTAACAAAGCTCCCAACATGTTCCAAAAAAGCAACTAACAAACGAACTATCGATCAAAGAAACAAACACCTTCATCATCCCCCCCCCCCCCTACTCCAAAGAAAATATTTGTAATGTTATATTTTCATGTGAAAAAAAGGGATGAAAAAGTAAGAGACTAATCTGGGGCGTCATTGTGAGCAAAATAAAATAATATTATTTTGGTTGATATTCACAAAGTGTCTAGGTTAAGTATCTTTTCAAACGTGTTTCGTGGATGGTTGGCGGTTTCCCTGGAGTGGATTGCTCCTGATTTGCTATGAAATATCTATCGTTACTCTCTCATAACACCTCCCATCTTTGGCACTTCTACGAACTAATTGTGTAGCAAGTGCCATAAAACTTTAACTAAATCAAGAATGTTTCTATTAATGTGAAGCCAAACAAGAGGATCTGCATCAAAATATCAGCAGCATCATCGCCTTTCAACTATGTCTTGTCGATTTCTGTGGGCCCAATACTCCGAAGAAATTCTTGTCTGTATTTCGAGTTATACCCGAGGTAGACAAAGATATTGACCGCAGCACTGGTGACGGTGATGAGATCCTGCAAGGAAGTTACGACTCTGTACAAGTTTTTGTACCGTCCAAAGTCGCTGAATTCAGGGTAGTACAAGGCACAGAAAGAAATTACGATCTCTGGGAGGTTACTAGCCACAAAGATTCCCGCCACTAGATTAACTGCCTGTACCACGCGCCATTCTTTCCTGCTCAATCTATTCTTACCTTTTCCTAGAACTTTCTCTTTGTTCTTTCTGTCGTTACTTTCGTTGACTTCACAACTTTGTTCTGACGTCATTTCCCGCCTCTTTTTCGTTGCTACCTGGAGTTTGATTGTGAGTACGACCATACAGAAAAGCACTGCCACTTGGGATACAAAGGGAATGACCATTCTGTTGAACACAGTGTAAATATCGAAAACCAACATAGTGTAAGAACGGTTGGCGTACACATATCTACTGTGGTTTCTGACGGGATCAAATTTAAGTTTGAGTCCATGGCTCGAAAAAGTGGGAATGTAAGTCACGAGTACCGCTAGGTAAATAACCACTAAGGTGATAACGGTTCTGAAACGAGTGAATACGTTCTTAAACAGCAAGGGTATGGCGACACAGCAGCATTTCTCCACAGCCGTGAACGTGGTGACCAGCACAGAAATGTCGAAAAACAAGTTCATGTACCAGAACAGAAGATACGAGATAGTTCCCATGGAAACAGTGGGGCCCAGCTTATACACGTTGCTCAGTATCCCGAAAATTCTCATGAGCAGGAAGAACACGCTGAACCCCAGATCGGAGATGGCCAAAGCGAGAAACGAGATGGTGACGCTGTCCTCTAGCCCTGTCTTTACGAAGATGACGATATTGACGATGTTTGAGCTGATGCCGAAGATCACGATTGACATCTGGAGTCGGGGGTAGAAAAGAATTTGGTAGTAGAATCAGCATAGCACGAAAATCAGGTTTTATTGGTGGTTTCTGTTTTTGTTTTTGTTTTTGTTGTTAGGTTTTGTTGAGGTTTTGTTTTTTAGTTGCTTTTTTCTCCTCAAGTTAAATAACAGACAGAAAAAAAAACAACAGATTGCTGCGTCCCTTTATTCTGTCTACTGCAAATATTTCTTAAATGTAGAAATTTAGCAAGTTAAATCGCTACCCTATTATTACAAAGTTCTATCTGCTCAGTACCTTGTTTTGAGAAACTGGACATCGCAAATTTTGAGTTTCAAAATATGTCAAACTTTATCGAATGCAATTCTTTGAATATTTTGATAATAATTCCGAATAATCTTAAAATTTGGATAGAGCATATTATAGAATCTTTTGTTTTTGATCGCATGGTCTTCGTAACTCAAATCGGCCAAAAACGTCACAGAGAACTTTGTAATTCTGAGGTAGCGAAATGTTCGGCGTAACATGCGAGATGTAAAACCTCGGAGAGGGGGCTCTCGTGGCCTAGAGGTTAAGGTGTTGGCCTCTCATTCAAAGGTCCCGGGTTCGAATCCGGGTAGCGACCGAAACATTTTCTGCTATAAAATTGTCTCCTTTCACCTCCTTTCCAGCTCTCTAGCAATGTTCTGTTGTCTGCTTTCAATTCCACTTTCTGCCCCCACCCCCTCACCACCTTTGCCCCCTCCTCTGGGGCTCCTGACACTTTCTGCAGCCTTTCTACTGCTACTCCTTGGCTCCTCCTTACTGCTGTCTTTCTGCCACACCCCTGATCTTCTGGTAGGAAAGATCTACACCTAGCCTTCTCGGACAAGGGCAAAAAATCTCGGAGGGCCCGTGTGCAAGTTGCGCACGTTAAAGATCCCTTGGTGGTCTAAAATCGATAAGAGCAGGCTTCGGACGCCACCCGGGCAAAATTCAAAATTTCCTACCAACTGAAATATTAGGTGTGTCCCGCGCGCTCATATGACCTATGCAGTTGCGAGCGCCGTAAAACACTTTACAAAAACAAAAACTTCGGAGGCTGTGCGTTGGTTAAAAAAAGAGGAAACTAAAGCACCAGAAAAAATGGTTCAATCTAGGAAATAAATATTATTTAAATCAAAACATATCACAGGACGCTGAGTTTCCTGCTCCTAGATAGCTTAGTTACACCAGGCTTTTTTTAGTGTGTTTTAGTAAGTTTTTCGGCACTTGCAACAAAATTAGGTCATATAAGTGAAATGAGAGGTGTTACAAGAGAGCAATTTAAAGAAAGAAAAGAAGGAGGAGAGATGAGGTTGATATTTGATAAATGTTTGAAAGGAAAGTAGAAGCAAACCCCACCGAGCACCCGCCAATCACCCACATTAAGTTTCGCCTTCTGCTCTCTCAGATGTTCATTATGTTTATAATGTGTCCGGGAAATGCTTGCGTGTTTGTTTGTTTGTTTGTTTGTTTGTTTGTTTGAGTGAAGAGAAACCCATCAACACAATAATGGTCACTTAGTGCTTGGAAAAAGTAAAGACAGACAGACAGAAACAACAGAAGAAAAGTAAAGAAGTATAACCTACCAGTGGCGCACACACGCACGCACACACACATACACACACATACACACACACACACACACACACACACACACACACACACACATACACACGGAGAGAGAGAGAGCGAAAGAGAGAGAGAGAGAGAGAGAGAGAGAGAGAGAGAGAGAGAGAGAGAGAGAGAGAGAGACAGACAGACAGACAGACAGACAGACAGACAGACAGACAGACAGACAGACAGACAGACAGACAGACAGACAGACAGACAGAGAGTGGCCTGTAGGTTACTCACCTGCACAACGAAGTCGAGATAGAATCTGACAGTGTAGGTGACGTCATCGTTCATGAACCCGCTCTTCCCCGGACATTTTGTTGTACCCTCTGTCAGATTTCTGACCGTTGCCCCGTCCCCACACGACATTGTCCAGATGGTCAGGCCAGAGTCCACACAGATGTTGACCAGTAGAACCGTTGATCTTAAACTCCAAAGTTTAGAGCTGGAGAGATGTTGACCAGTAGAACCGTTGATCTTAAACTCCAAAGTTTAGAGCTGGAGAGATGTTGACCAGTAGAATCAATGAACTCAAAGACCGTATCGCTTTGTTAGAATTAAAAAGTTCTGTCTAACATTTTTGGCCGTTCTGAGTTACAATTTTAAAACTATAACATTTTTCCGAGTTACTATTTTTTGTAAAACTAGTACCCGTCAGATTAAAAAACCGCTCTATCAAAATCGTTAGATTATTCGGAATCATCATCAAGGTATTCAAAGAATTGCATTTGACAAAACTTGACATTTTGTGAACTCATATTTGACGTCATATGTGAGGCAATGTGGTAGAATCAGGCTCTCGTCAATTCTTGGGCAGGTTGAGTTATTGGTATTATCTTAAAGCTTGTTCACTTGTCTTTATTTGGATGAAAAAAATATCCATTTATCTTGAATACAAGTCGAGATATTTGCGATTGAAAGAGGTGGGGGTCACCTGTTTTCAGAGGTAAAATTAGTGAGAAAAATGACCTCCAAAGATTAGTTATTTCCTTAGCTTAAGAGTCGCGTGGTAACTTAAAAATTACCATTGTGGTGCCTTTAAGCACTGTGTTTCAGAAAAATCCTCACAGAAATGAGTTCTTTAATGGGCATGAAAGGTGCATAGCCAAAAAAAAAAATTTTCATAAAAATTCACAAACCTGCTGAAAAATGCAGGTTTCTTCACTTTGATTACTTTGACGAGAGCCTGATTCCACCACGCTGCCTCACATATTTCTCAAACCTAGGTATTGAGCAGATAGAAATTCGTAATTCTGAGGTAGTGAAATGTCAAGTTGACCTCAAAGGCCAAAGTCTACAGAGATATTGACCTCAAAGGCCGATGTCTAGAGAGAATATGTTGACCTCAAAGATCAAAGTCTAGAAAGATATTGACCTCAAAGGCCAATGTCTACAGATCTAGAGAGGTGCTGACCAGTAGAACCGTTCAAGCTTAAAACCAAAATCTAGAGAGAATTTGACTCCAAAGACCAATGTTTAGAGAAATGTTGACAACAAAGACCAAGTAATAATACAGTGTAAGTGCTGGCAATATACGCATAAAAACACATCAACATGACACGAGCATATTGTTTAGTCCAATAATAAATTAAACAATATGTGAGGCAGCGTTGTGGAATCAGGCTCTCGTCAAAATAATCAAAGTGAAGAAACTTGCATTTTTCCGCAGGTTTGTGAATTTTTATCAAATTTTTGTTTTTGGGCTCAACACCTTTCGCGCCCATTAGAGAACTCATTTCTGTGTGAATTTTAGTGAAAAACGTTGATTAAAGGCACAAAAAAGTAAATTTTCAGTTACCACGGACTCTTAAGCTAAGGAAATAACTAATCTTTGGCGGCCATTTTTTCCCTAATTTTACCTCTGAGAACAGGTGAACCCCACCTCCTTCATTTTTAAATATCTCTCCTTGTATTTAAGAAAAATGGATATTTTTTCATCCAAATAAAGACAGGTGAACAAACTTTAAGATGATACCAATAACTCTACATGCCCAAAAATTGACGAGAGCCTGATTCCACCACGCTGCCCCACATATTATAATACATGTAATGTTGGTTTCAGAACAACAGTTTTAGTGGCTGTTTGGCGGGTGCCTTGGTGTGGTTTGCTCCTTCTTACCCCTCAAAGATCTATCGGCACTGTCTCTCCTCCTTCTCCTCTGAGTTTGTAACGCATCTAATCATCGGCACTAATAAGACTGTACTGTATTGCAAGTGCCGTAAAAGTGTTACTAGATCAAACAAAAGTACGTTTTAAAGGGGATTCAGCAACAAAGAAGGGCATAAACATTATTGAAGAAAATGCTTGCAATGTTGAACCATTAATTATGCATAGGGAGATGTAACTAATCAGCCTATTAACGATCATAATCTCATGAATTAAGAACACTGAATACGGTTGCAAGTTACTAGCCGAAGCAAAATAGCAGAGACTATCATTGATTATAAATTATGCATTTTGCCGTGGCGGTTATTAACATCTCCATTTCGTTTACTATAGACACATTAGACCAATGTGTGTGCTTTGTATTTCTTTTTGTTTTGTTTTGTTTTGATTTTAGTACATGATTTCATACTTCTGACTACCCAATTAGTGCTCACACACATTTTGTACTTTAACTTAATTACTTGCATTCTAGTCCCTGAAACTTCTCACAATTATTATGGGTTTTTCTAAAGAATACGCAAATCAATCCAATTTTTTCCTATGCAAGCATTACTCAGAGGTTAAAAGCACAATGTTCAGTCCTAAATTGAATTGATAGGAAGGCTTACAGAAAGAAATTGCTCACCATAACATAACCACGGTTTATCGAGCGACATAAATAATTGCTTTGTAAACGTTGTAATTGTACGGCAGTTCTATAATAAAGGTGCGGGTGGTTGGAGGGCGCCACTGGTACGTACTTCTTTACTTTCCCTTGGTTGCATTTACCTGTCTTTCTTACTTCTCCCCAGCAGTACTTTACTTGTTCATTTGTCCTGGACAACAACGTCATTGCACACCGGACATGTCGTACAGAAGTGCTTAGTTCCTCTCAGCACTAAAGCCCGCAAGGTATCCATACTAATTGTTCAAGTGGCTGTTTGATTATGGCGACGTCTTTCCTTTCCTGATAATCGTTCCTCTCTTCCTTCTCCTCTCTCTATCCCCATTTCTCACATCCTAATGATTGCGTGGTGTTCTGCTACAATCCCTGTCTTCTTCATCCCGCAACTTTTCCTCCAGGTTCTTCAACACTTCTCCTATGTCGAATTTCACCTCACCATCAACCACGGCACTGCCCGCCAGCCTATCATCAGCCTTCTCATTGCCCTTCATCCATAGTGCCCTGGACAGAATTTCCATGTGATGGCGCTATGTGATGAGTGCTGTATTGGTTCATTCCCAGCGCTAACATAAGATAAGATAAGATAAGGAAAGTTACATCTTTATAGTCCAGATCCTGGCATATTGGTTTGGTGTATCACCACACGGGCACGCACACACACACACACACATACACACACACACACACACACACAAACACTCACACACACACACTCACTCACTCACACACTCACATGCACACATAATATGTTTGCACACAAACACGCACACACACACACATGTGCACACCCATATACACTCACGCTCTGCCCTTACACCTCCTCTCTTCAACTCACATTTTGTGCACTAAATGGCCATTACTGTGTCAATATGCTTCTCTTTACTAAAAAAAACAACCAAACCCACACGACAGCGGTGAGAGTTTAGACTTTGAGGCAACCATTGCCAGGTCTTACCTCCATTCTCTGCCTTTTCCCCTGCACTAACTGGTCATTATTGTGACGAAGTGCATGGAACTTTTCTGTGTGTAGTATACATGGGACCTGGTTATGTGTAGTGTACAATATGGCACTTGGTTGTGTGTAGTGTACATGGGACTTGGTTGTGTGTAGTGTACATGGGACTTGGTTGTGTGTAGTGTACATGGGACTTGGTTGTGTGTAGTGTACATGGGACGTAGTTGTGTGTAGTGTACATGGGACCTGGTTGTGTGTAGTGTACAAAGGACCTGGTGGTGTTTAGTGTGCATGGGACCTGGTTGTGTGTAGTGTACAATATGGCACTTGGTTGTGTGTAGTGTACATGGGACTTGGTTGTGTGTAGTGTGCATAGGACCTAATTGTGTTCAGTGTACATGGGACCTGGTTGTATGTCGACGTGCATGGGATCTGGTTATTAGTAGTGTGCTTGGACAGGGAAGCTGATCTGTTAGCTCTTCCTGGCTTTGACAGCATCTGTAGCAGTATAATATCATTACAGGCAACCGTGGGGGCACCACTGCATCTGAAAACCAGCTCTCGCCATCTATTT